CTAACTTTTTTCTGAAGGCAGAACTGAGTCGAGTCTTGTTAACCGCGGCGGCAGGAGTTTGGTGATGTAAGACGGTTAGGTCACTGCACCCGGAGGATGGTTTTGATGGAGGCTGGTGACAGCCGTCCTTGTGGATGCTTCAGGTGTAATGGTGTATGAATGGGAGCTGCGTTACTGAAGTGCTTGGTGCTTTGTTAAGAAAGGTGTCTCATCTGGCGAACTTGGGGGTCTCATCTCTGAAGTTAATGAGTTTTAAAATGTGGGGGGGGGAGGAAGCTGCCGCTTTTCTCCTTGTGCTTTAAAAGTTGAAGAAACTGACTTGTAGGTAACTTTAATATTTGGGTTTCAGCAATCTTAAAATCTTGTTTGTGAATATGGATCTATGGACAAGACTGATCCTAAACTAGAGATCTGTTGGCAAAAGAATTGGATCCCAAAATCCTTGTCCTGTACTGATCTCCCAGGAGTCTTAGAAGAGGATATCTTGGAAGTAGCATGTAATCTCAACTGGTAGACAAGGATCTTTGGGTAGATGTGACATTATTATTATTATTAAACCAACTAAATAGTTGGAAACGTTGTTCTTTGCAAGCTTTTGGGTACAGACGCCCTTCTTCAGGCAGAGGGAGTGTGGGTTGCAGTTGTCTGAGGATTTCCTGTATAGGTTCCAGGGAGGGATGGTATGTCATGTAACTAATGGTGTGCGCTTCGTAGGGATTTTCATGTTGTACTGCAGAACAGCAGCAGATTCCCCCTATGCCTGAAGAAGGATGTTTGTGCCCAAGGGCTTGCAAAGAACAATTTTCCAACTACTCAGTTGGTCTAATGAAAGATATCACATCTACCCAAAGAAGCTTGTCTGCGTGTGTCTGTAGACCAGCACAGCTATAACCAACACCCCTAATGTAATCTGAACAGTCATTTATACAGTCTGAGGTGGGAAACATTGCGTGGTTGAAGACTGTGGACTCCCTATAGGGCTCTTTCCACCTTGATTTGTAGTTTTAAGCTAACGTTCTCCACTGATGCTGCATTTGGCAGGTACATTTCTGAGAGACTCTTTTTAGTAACATCTACCTTATTTATTGCCATGCTGGTACTTGATAGAGAATCCAGGGGAAGAGAGAGACAAAAGAAAATAACTTACTGATAATAGCAAGTTGTCAGTTTTCTTCCATCTCATCTTCCTGCCCCTGCGTGGCATTTTAAATCTGTCTTTCCCGAAAGGCTGTTTGAGAAGTCTCACAGACATCTGCCTGTAGAGGCATAACAGGTGTCTATGCAGGTGTTTGAGATAAACTTGTAGGAGGGAAAACATTTGCCTTTCTGCTGCAGCTGCAGGGTAGAGGAGTGAGCAGGATATAAATGACTAAAGACAAGCTATTGGTGAGTTTCCTTAAAAATCCTGAAACAGTTTGTAGGAGTTTTTTTTAGATCAGACTCTTCTTTAGATAAAAACAAATATTCATTATGCTTCAAGAGACCTCCTTGAGGATCAAGTGTTTGTTGTAAATAAAGTTGGAATTTCTTAATTGGTCCTTTATCTGCAATGTTGACTTTATTGCCTTGTACACACAGTGCTGCAAGTTGGTCCCAATTTCTTCAGGCTTCAGTTTTAGTGACTGAATATTGAATACAGAACAATCTTTGGTGGAGGGAGGATTGCACTAGATTTAAAACAAACCAAGACCCGGTTTCTGAGAGTTCACTTTTACATTGGGGCTTTGCCATCTAAGATGGTTTAACTTTTTTAAAACTCCAGGTGTAAGCTCTGCTCTTTGTAATAACCTGTGACAAAAAATGGTGTGTCAAGTCTTCACTTACTATGGCACCTTTAGAAATTTAAACATTTATCTGTTGCTCAAGTGCTTTATACCCATTTTTAATAAATCATATATCATTCAAAATTTAGGGGGGCTGGGGTGATACAGGAGCTAAGGTGCAGGATTGACAGTCCAGAGGTCACAAGTTCAGGGCCATAACAGAAGTGCTCATGGCACGGCCATGTCAGATTCCAACAAATCTGTGAATTCTGCTAAATATCTTGTCATAAGGACATGAAAAAGGAAGGATTCAAAATATGTATCAAGACTGCTGCCTGGAGTGTGTGTCTTCATGTTGACTGACTAATAAGTTTACAGTGTAAAATTATGGGGAAACTTGTATAAAATTTGATCCTTGGGAATATGTTCCAACAGTCATAAGGACTGGTATATCCAAAACAGTGAAATATATTAAACTGTTGAAACTGTGTCGTTTATTGGTAAGCCGGTAGTAGTTTCTACCGTGTGAGAAGCTTGCATATTTGGGCAGGTGGAGGAGGGAGGGGGAGAGTCATTTTGAGGACCAACTTCACTTTGAAAATAAATTTCCTTCCCAAAATATTTGAGATCACAACCTTATGTGCTCATGAGACATTGTAAAGGCACTTTGAAGGGATCAGTGAGTTACCTAGTTGGGTGATGAATTTGCAAAATATTCACAGCCTGGAAAACATTAGTGTGCTTTCGGATATCTCATGTTTGACTCTGTGAAATTGCCTGAGTGATCAGCATCCTAATAATGTACAAAAGCTATGCCAGTGAAATATTTTGATCTTTACTAGTTCAGATTTTTTCCTTCAGACAATTTTACAATGAAACATATCTTTAAAGATCAAGATGATATTACCAGGCTTCTTAGTTGAAGTTAGTACAAAAAAGGAAACTGTGTTAGAGCGAACAGTTGTTATATGTTCTAACACGTAAGGTATGTTGCTTCTGAGATTTGCAAACTAAATACTTGGAAGTAGGTGTGTGGGAGGTTATTAGTCACTTTTGCAGAAGAATTGAATAGCATTTGGCTTTGGGTAAGCATAAAAATATTGGCTATTAGGCATGACTTGCTACAAGCATACCGGAATTGGCTAATGGTAGCTTAATAAGCAGCAATCAAAGTAAAATATAATGACAAGTCAGAACAGTAATTCCTTTGACCTGGGATATGATGGCACATAGTACAATTTCATGGAAATAACAAGATGCTGGAGACTGAAGGAACCAATGTTTGGATATTGTATGTGATGTACATTAGCTGTATTCATGTGCTTGACAATTACAAAATCCTTAGTGTATCTTGGATTATAATTTTACTGATAAAGAGGATTGCAAAACTCTAGAACTGTTGGTTCAGAGATGATACCTTTTATTAGACCAACTAAGAAATTGCAAAAAAAATATAATTTTTTTGTGAATTCTTAGTTGGTCTAATAAAAGGTATCATCTCTGAACCAACAGTTCTAGAGTTTCTTGCATTTCTTTTTGTCTCAGACCAACACAGTTACCTAATACGTCACTGATAAAGGATGACACTTACAGACTTAAGGCACTGGATTGTGTCTTTAAAATGTTAAATTTGATTTTTGGATACAATATATTGGAATGGTGTGTGTTTCATAAAGCAGCTCTGTGTATAGACAGTCAATAAAAAATTATTTTCTTATCTATGTATGGTGCTTTCCTTGGAAGCTAATAGGCTGAAAGAAACTTGGCTATATATTTGTAGGTAAGTTGTAAGGAAAAACTTGAAGTTGAAACTTCCTGCTATTTGATCTTCAAAGCTACTTTACTTTAAATTAAGAATCCTGTATAGGATTGCCAATGCCCATGAGAAACCATTGATCCCTGAATCTCCAAAATAAAAGCAATGGTTCGCTTCAGAACGGGGTGGCCAACCTGTGGTACAGGCAGCCTCTGTGTGTAGCATGTGACAGATTGGAGAGGGAAGAAGCAGTACAGTGGCAGACAGGGTAGGGAACAGAAAGAGCAGGAGCTTGGGCAGGAAGCAGAGTAGTGGATTGGAGTGGTACTTGGGAAGGTGCAGGGCTAATTTGTGGAAAGCCTGTCAAAAACATTGGCCTGTACTGCTTCAGAAGATGAATAAATACAAGGGGCTTTCCAGCACATCATATTTTAAATACCAGTATGATGAAATACTTCTTCACATTTCATTTGAAGCGTATAATGTCTAATTTTTAAACTTTCTGTAACTAATAATTCCCTAAAGTGAACTGCATTGTATAACTAGTTCAGCAGTAGCCTGCCAGGAATCCTGAGAAATTGTATAAAACTCTAGGATAAAATGAACACTTTTTCTGGTAGTAATTACTTCCATCATATTGAATCCAAATTCTCAGTCTTCTTTAATACATAATAGCATAAACCAATTAAATAACGGACTCCCAAACAGGTATGTTGTTTTGCTCAGTCTTTCTGAAAGTGGGCCCCCTCTTCAGTAATTACTAGACAGCAGGAAAGTCAAAAGCATGTTGAAATGAGCCTTTCCCAGCTCAAGGTCATGGGTGGTTCTAAGCAATGAGTAACTAGCAACTAAACACTGGTTTCTTAACACATTCACCATGTTACAAATTATTAATGCATGCTGGTAATTGTAGCTTTTCTTTTTGTAGTTGTGGCCTTTAGGGGACAAATGCATACCAGAAATGAATGAAGCAGTGGTTATTGATATGTTAAGTATCACTTCCAACCAATTCATTAATGAACCAGTGCTAGCTCTAAAACATCTCCTCAGAGACAGTTTCCCTATGCATAACAAGAGGGGATTATAAAGTGTCTTCTTATTTGTAAGCTATCTTGTGGTATTTGGAAGTTGCTGTAGTACGGCAAAGAACCATTACTGTTGTTAACATCTTCCTGCTTCCAAGTCTCTTCTAATTTTATGCTATCCTGTCCATTTACAGCATGCATGGGGATTCTATGCAGTAGAAGAATAGACATGTTAAAAATGCAATCCTGCAAATATTATAGCAAGATAAGCTTCCACCAAAGTTATTAAAGAGTAAAATATTTATCCATGCTTAATTATCTTGGTTACTGTTTGTCTCCAGATTAGCTTTCCTTTATACAATTAGTCTTGTTTGCTAGTTATACATTGCTAAGGATTCTTAAACTAGGTGAAGCCATAGTGAGAAACTGCCTAGATACAGAATTCTTAGTATTGGTGGAAAAAGCAGCACCGAATATAGGAGCAGACTCTGGAGCTGTGTGGTGGAGTGCTTTGTTTCGAACTAAAAGGTATTCATTTTTGAAGTTGAAATCCCAAAGGGAGCTTTGGTAAGGAGAAGATTTAGGGACTCAGATTTTGGTGATGCACTGGAACCTTTGGTCACTTTTCTTGCAGTGAAGAATATTTCATACCTCCATTTAATGTTCAGCATCAAATGTCTGTTTTGGCTTCATGAAATCCAAGGCAAGAGAAGAGTACTGTAGTATCTGAGTAGTGAAAAATATATACTTGGGTTTGAATGCTTGGTAGGGCCCTGCTCTCTTTAAATAGGGTTTGAAGGGAGAAAGTAATTAAAGTGTCTGTGTGTGCATGTGTGCACATCCACTAGTAATTAAAGTGTCTGTGTGTGCATGTGTGCCCATGCACCATAAAGCTGTTGCTGCTATTACTTACACACTGCCTATTACTTAATCAGAGTCAGGCTGAAAGTAGCAAGGAAAGCAGAGTTTAGAGCTAGTTCGCTGAAGCTGTAACACAACTGTAGCTATCATATTTTCATAAAGTTTGTTTGGTTTTTTTACTCAGCAGGTCCATTCCTTCCTCTGTAGTTCAGCCTGTCTTAATACCACTTCTTCAATCAACTCCATGCAACAGGAAGTTTAATACATTTCCTGTTGCCTGAAACTTGGCATGAAGTGCCTGTCTGGAAGCTTTTTGCTATTCAGTTTTCCTAACAGGTCTCTCTCAACTACTTTAAAATGTGTGTATGAATCTCTACAAATAGCTTTATAGAACTGAGTTGCTCTGCATTTTGTAACCTTGAAGTCAATGCTTCGTCTTTAATGTATATTGTTGTATATTTTTATTTTCTTCATGTTTCGTGACGCACAGTTTGTGCTAAGGGTTCTGGGATCCAGAACTCCAAAGTTCTAATTCTGGCTCTGATACTGACTATCCTTGTACTGGTGCCAACAGCCGAATCTTGCTTTCTTAATATCTCTGTGTGGAGAGCAGGCAAATTGCTTGGTGCCCTTACAAGGGGATTAAGACTAATCTTTTGTGAAGTATTTTAAACCAAGAACTTCTATATTATCTAATGTTGACTCCTTTGAGACTTAATTGAATGTCATTTATTCATTTGCTCCACATCTTCAGTATTGTAGTTGCTGAGATACAAAGCTGCACTGAAAAAAATATTTGATTTTATAACTTGATGCTTTTAATCCTGTTAGCACCTAAACCCAGACAAGGCACTTAAGTTGGATTGTACAAAGCATTAAAGGCATTTGTACACATGCTTACGCCACTGCTGGGCGCTTTTTACAAGCACCTGGCACTGTGTTGCCTGCAGTTATATAAGTGACAGAATGCACATCATAGCTGACAGAATGATGGCAGCGTGCTTTTGAACTAAAACGCATCAAAGGGGTTTTAGTTCAAAAGCGTGCTGCTACTATTTTCTGTGCGCTGATATACATTTTGCTGCCTATACAACTGCATGCAACGCAGTGCGGTGCATGTCAGCTTGTGTGGAGCAGACTTGATTAATTGAGTCTGCTTCAACACACCGGAGCACGAAAATGTATATATAAAAATGTCCTAAATGCCTTTATCTGTTGGGGATAAAACCAAGTATATGAATGTATTTACATATTTTGATGTTGCATATCAAAGGGAAACATTTTTGCTTTTGTACAACATTCCTTATGGAATGGGAAAAGCTGTTATCAGCTCTGCAAATTGGAGGTGCAAGTTGTGCCAAACTACCCAAGCCGCTGTCATCAGGAGCATCTAATGTGCATCACTTCTCCTCTATCTTCTGCTAGTTTCCTTCTTGTGATATGGCAAAGCATTGGAGTTTTCCAGATTGCTCTGAAAATTGTCAAATTCTAAGACTATCAACTTAATGTCTCTGTCAGTTTTGGTATGTTTACTCTCTTAAATTAAAACTTTATTTTCTTTTTCCCATAGGATTTTATATTTCCCCTGACTGAAGTTTCTTTACCTTCACTATGGAGATAGAACCAGAAAAATTTCACAGTAGTAGAGATGAAGTGAGCTCAGAAACAGCTTATCATTGCTCAGCCTGTCATGATGATGAGGAGTGGAGCTGTGCTAACCCTATCCGGGGTCGGGCTAAGTCTCGCAGTTTGTCTGCTTCACCAGCCCTAGGGAGCACCAAAGAATTCAGGTATGAAATCAGCTAAACATTAGTTGACGGTTATTTTATGTTTTTTTTTTAGGTGGGCAGAATTGACTGCCTGCATAATTCTGCCAGCTGCTTGTTTCTGCCTATTTCACTGCAACGTTTAAGACTACTAAAAGTAGTATACCTTTTCAGATATTGCTCTTTGATTTCAACAACTGCTGTAGTTGCTATCAGTGTGTCATTTGAAAATGCATAAAAAAAGAAGAGGTCTGTGCGGGAGCAGACCAGTAGTTTTTTATACATCACCTACGCATGTGCAGACCACACTATGGAAAAGCTACGCCTACATTAAACCATTAGCCTACTTCTCTTTGATTATTGAGTTTTTTTATTAATAGCTTTTAATTTGTATTAGTAGTTTTTTATTAGTTGCTGCAGTTGACATAATTTGAATAGAAGACAGATAAAGGTGTAGTTTTCCAACATATCTCTTGTGTGAAGTTTGCTGTTTCTTCGGTAAGTAATTTATCGATGCTTTGTGTTTGCATAACAAACATCTAATCACACATGAAATTTTTCGTGATTTTTGTCTTCACAAGAATGTAATATCCTTTAAAGTATTAGACAAGTCTTCTAACGAAGAAGAGGTGTGTATATATGGAATGATTCACATACTCAAAGTGCTTGCCTATGGATGAGAAAATTGACTTAAAGAAAGTCTGTGTACACTTCTAGCTGTGACAAGTTCTTTATAGACAAAATCTTATTATGTCTCCATAGCTTATTGGCACAGACCTTGCTGTCAGAAATGGGTGAGAGTGTGGTTTCTCTTAAGCTAATTGTCAGTTTTTAAGACCACCATCACAAAAAGGTATCCAACTTACAGTATCTCAGAATAGCTTGGCCTTCTGACAGATTTCTGTATTCTGTCATGTTTTAGTCTAACTTAATGAGCCTTATACATCTTTACAAAATCAAAGCATGTAACAAATTTTGATGTTACAGGTACACTGATTTGAAGTTTGATATTCAAGACAAAGGAAAAGTTCCAGGTTTTTTTAGAATGTAGGAGCAGGGCTGGACTTGGTATTTTAGATCTTTCTCCTTGTGATGGGATCTGGCAGAGCCATTTTCTCTGGGTCACTCACCAGATTGCTATTGGGGGATTCAGCTACCAAACCTCCAGGTGTTTTTAAGCTGCTAAAGTACGATGAGAATCTAGGCACTCCTCTTTAGCCATGGACCTCTAAGCTGACTCCTGGGATATAGACCTCTTCAGCATCTTCTCCTGAGACCTAGGACCAGTTGCCTGTAAACTGCATTCAAGTACTTGTATAAAAATGTTTCTTAGCAAATGCAGCCTTGACAGAGTACCTGCAAGTGCATAAAGTCAATACTAAAAAGTCTTTGCAGGACCGTGGAAACTTTGTTAACACCTAAAGGTTCTATAGTTACCTGTTTGACAGCAATGTATAACATAAGAAAGCAGTCTTTTTATGTGTAAGATGCCAGATAGCCAACAGTATTTAAATGCAGATTGTGCGCACAGGATTTTAAACTTTTTAATGTTTCTCTGTGTGCAAATGGCTATTTAGTTCAAATTCTGCTCTCTTTTCTAGGTGTGAATATTTTAGGTAATTTCTTCCAGTATAGAAACTTGTTCTTCTTTTCTGCTGGTTGATTACCTCTCATCTTTTTTCACTTTTTCCTTTTCTTGTCCATTGGTGTGTTCTGTGGACAGATAATAATTTCAAAGTATTACATATAACTGTAGTTCAGGGGTGTCCATTGTGGTTTCAGTGAGGCTTGCTATTTAAAAGGTCACTCCTTCAAGATTTACTTAAGCCATTCATTGACTGATGTTATAATAGGTTTACTTTCAAAGAGACTTCTAAAATATCAAAATTCTGAGGCTCACTTTGTTGTATTTGAATAATAGCCTGTATGTACAGACTTAGGAGACACTTCTCACAGTGATAAACATTTCTAAAGCACTAACATGCATTCTTAGTCTAATAGTAAGTGGTAGTAATACTGTCTCATCCCTTTTCATGCTAAGGAATCCTTTCCTTTGCTGATTAAAAGGGTACATATATTAAAGTCTCACAAAATTCTTACTTAAAATGCATGCGAGCTATTTGGGCATGGTGATAACAATGAGTAAATTATACTTAGCAAATACAGATTCCTTCACCAGGGTTAAAGCTGTGATTCTGCAAGCTGCTGATCTGCTTTTACTTGTATTGATCTCAGCAGGAGTTGTGCTCAGCAGTTTGCAGTATGGGCCTTACAGTACACAAATCTAAACAGTGTGTGCTGTAATATTACAAATGCATTACACCCAGTGTAGCCTTTGTTACTTGAATGCTGTATAGGACAGGTATTTAAGGGTGACTTTTGACAAGAGAAGTAGTTAAATCATGCTACTCTGAAGTCAGGCAGAAAGTACTGCAGGGTGGCATCTTTGAGCAGTGGTTCTCAGCCTTTTTGGTCACAAGGCACCCCTCTAACTTCTGAAATTGGGTGCCACTCAATCCACAACAGCTAATTTATATACCACAGTGTTTACCTCATTGCAGACAGCCTGGAAAGTGGCTGTGGGCAGGGGGAAGGGCACAAGCATGTGCTTATCTGCTTTTCTCCTCACCCTTTGCTTATCTCTGCACACTGCTTGGCACCCTTCAAAAGATCTGGCGGCAGCTTAGGCTGCTGTAGCAGCCTGGTTGAGAATCACTGCTTTAGAGATTAACTGGTTCAGAGAGGCATAAGCTTTCTTGGTGCCTACCCAGGCTGTGGGACAAAAGGGAAGGAGTTTAGCCATACTTGGAGTACTGTGAAGGAGGCCCTCCGAGTAGAGGGTAGAACTTGAGAGGAACTTGTGGAAGCTATGCAATGGGATGGGAGCAGGAGATTATTTTAGTACCCAATTAAAAGCAAGATCATTCCGAAGAGTGTAGAAGCTTCTTAGTACTGTTTTTGCTCTTGTGCATTGTGGTAACTGATTTTCTTTCATTAGACTGTTAAGAAATATTCATTAAACACTTGCATTTCTGTTTCTCTATTGATGAAATAAACGTAGGCAGCTTTCAAACATTTTCTGTTTATGCCTCCTTATCAGACAAGTTCAGCCATGCCTAAAATTTCATGAATGTGCAAACACATTGTTCTGTTGCATGGATCCAATGTTACTTCTGTTGTCCTGCTAGAGGAAAGGAAACCTATTTGCTTTTGTTACTAGAATGCAAAGTTTACTTAGCTTCATTTTATTAAGCATGAAACTAACAGGATATTGCCCTGGTTGCCTGCCTGTGCTTGTATCGCTTTCCTCCAGTCTTCATCTCCTGTCTGTGTTGTGCAGACTGTGACTCTTGGGATGAGTTGCCACAAATGTTGAATGTCTTCTCACCTCTTGGGTTCTGCTACTATATCTATAACAAAATTACTCCACTACTAATATTGTGTTTGCAGATCCATAAACTTTCTTTGAACAGCTGTTACCATGTTACTGGAGTGAAGCACAGGAAAAGCACTCTCCTGCTGGGAGTGACTTGAATGCTTATAGTACTTCTCACTTAGTTGCTGGAATTAGTTTTTTATTTTACGTCAGGTAAGCTTTATCCCCATTTTACAGCTTTGTTGAAATGGAGGAAGTTGGGGCTCGAGGTAAACTTGCATTAGAAGTAGAAGTCCTGTGTCTAGACCATGCACATTTAAGTTCAGAGCTTACGTGTAACAATGAAGTATAACGCAGTGATGATTACTCATACAATTTTAACAAAAGCATTACATCTTAGAAAAGTAGGGCTGGAAGGAATCTGGAGAAATCTTGTAGTAATCATGCTCAAGGAAGGAACATCCCTGTCTGAACCATCCTAGGCAAATTTATCCACCCTGCAGATCAGGCAAACAAGGTGATTTTATTATTATTATTATTTAATTAAAAAAATCAAATTAAAAACATTAATCAGATTTTAAAATATATTTAAATTTATAGTTTTCCTTTTTCAAAATAAACCAGCTTAAAATGAAATTTGAATTTACCACAGCATAGGCTAAGGTATAAATTTAATGCAATCCATTCAAAATAATTTAAATAAAACAATATACTGAGTTAATGAGCTTCTACTAAAAACCCTGGAGTTAAAGGCTGATTTTTCTTCTATATGTTGGGGGGTGGAATCTAACTTTTGAGGTTAAGCTTCAAAAATATGGTGCAATACTTCATGTATTAGGAGCTTGATCCTGCAAGGGATGCAGGGTCTATACTACTAGATGCAAAGGAGCAGCAAACTCATCACAAGTGTTGGAACCTAATGCTGCAAATGTAGCAAAGATGAGAAGAAACTTAGAAGAGGATATAATGACGCAAACCTGAAACTTATATGGAAGCTAGAGGTACACCAATACATTGGTCGCATATCGGATTGGCACTGATGTAGGAGAAAATTGAGAGTATCAGCAAACGGCTTTTTTGCCTGATGTGGCCGATAAATGCCCTGTGCATATGCACCGCCACAGCACGCACGTGGCCAGGAATGCAGTCCGGCTGTTTGGAGAGAAGCAATGGCTGATAAGTCTGTGGGGGGAAAGGGCGGGGGGGCGGGGCAAGGGACAGAGCCACAAGTGGCTCATCCGGGGGGGCGGGGGGGGTGTGGGGATGGCTGCAGCAGGCACCCCGGGAGGGCATGGGAGCATGCATCCCCAGATCTGCACAGGGCAGGGTGGGCTGCCACTGCGGGCTGGGGCTGGGGTGGCGCCAGGCTCTTCCTGGTGGAGGGCCTGGGCTCGGCTGCGCTCAGGGCGTGCGGCAGTGGCACTGAGGGTGGGGCTACAGGGAGGCTACGGCAAATTTTGGGGTGGCTGAAGCCCCTCCCAGTGCCATTACTGCCTGCCCCGGGAAAAGCTCAGTCCATCCCCTACCAGGAAGAGCCCAGTGCGTCTCTAGCCTCAGCCTGCAGCAGCATCCCACCTTGCCCCGTGTGCAGATCCAGGGGCACATGCGCTCTTGGGGTGCCTGCCCCAGTGTGAGCCACCAGCACCCC